TTAACAGAGTGAGCTGAGTCATGGGTGATCTACGGTTTGGAACCTGAAGTAAAGCCGTAGATCTACGGGAAGGAACCTAAAGGGTTAAATACAATTTGGAAGTGACAGTACTTTTGCTGATGATACTGTGCTTAGGGAGATTTTCTAAAGAAAAATAATTGCAAAGGTTAGTGGACGGAATTTGGGAATGTGTGTAAAAGGTAGAAAGTTTGAAAGTGAACATTGAAAAGAGTAAGGTGATGAGAGGTATCAAAATGATGTTGATAAAGAAATATCCCTGGAATCAAATTTGGGGGGAAGAGTATGGAATGAACAGAAAGTGATGTTTTCAGATATTTGGATGTTATTTGACGTGTCAAGAGGATGGATTTATGAAGGATGAGGTTACTCATAGAATTGATGACAAGCAAAAAGTGTGAGTGGTGCATTGAGGTATATGTGAGGCACAAAAAATTGTTATCTATTGCTGGCAAAGAAGGGAATGTATGAAAGTTTTGTAGTTACCAACAATCTTATATGGGTTGTGAAGCTTGGGTGTAATGTGCAGCAAGGAGGCAGTTAGTTAGAGGCATTGGAGATGTCTGTTAGAGCCAATGTGTGGTTTGTAAAATATTAAGCAGGAAAATTCGGAGTGTGGAAATAGGGAGTGTGGAATTAATAAAAGGTATTAGTCAGAGGGCTGGAAAGAGGGTTTGTTTTTTGTTGAGTGGTTTGGTCATTAGAGAGAATGGCTCACATGTAGAATGACATGAGAGGAGCGTATAAATCTGTAGGGGAAGAAGGAGGGGGTAGGGGGCGTCCTCAAAAGGTTGGAGGGGAGGGGGTAAGGAGGTGTTGGGGTGAGGGGTTTGGACTTCCTGCTAGCGTGTGTGGCATGTTAGATAGGAAGTGAATGGAGATGAATGGATTTAGGGATCCTGACGATCTGGTTGGAGTGTGAGCAGGGTAATATTTAGATGAAGGGATTCTGGGAAACCGGTTATTTTATATACCGGACTTGAGTCCTGGAAATGGGAAAGTACATTGCCTGCACTGTAAAGGAGGGGTTTGGGATATTGGCAGTTTGGAGAGATATATTGTGTATTTTTATACATGCAGGCATGCATGAGCGTGTTTGGTAGGAGTGAATGGAGACAAATGGTTTTTTAATACTTGACGTGCTGTTGGGAGTGTGAGCAAAGTAACATTATGAAGGGGTTTCAGGGAAACCGGGCAGGCCGGACTTGAGTCCTGAGATGGGAAGTACCTGTGACCTGCACTCTGAAGGAGGAGGTGTTAATGTTGCAGTTTAATAAAACTTATGTGTAAAGCACCCTTCTGGCAAGACTGTGATGGTGTGAATTATGGTGAAACAGTTTTTATTTTTCGGGCCACCTGACTTGGTCGGGAATTGGCCAGTGTGATAATAAAAAAAAAAATATACTTCTAATTGTTGTTATTCTTGGCACCTCTGCAAATTCATTGAATATGTGTGGAGTGTGGTGAAAGTGTTGATTGATGTTCTATAGTATTTTCTTTTTGAGGTTTTTTCTATCTCTATGAAGTCCACCCTGCCTCTTGGGGTAGACAGCGAACTGTGGAATTAAAAAAAAAAAAAAAAAGGTACTATCATCTGTAAGGAAGTTGAAGTTGATACAAATTTCATGTAATGAGTTAAATCCCAGCACTGTGAGAGTGACTGAAAATTTTTAGTAATTTTTTTGAAGAGCACATGTATGGCTGGGATTTCATCAGTGCAGTTGAATTTTGTATGAATTTCAGCTACAGTACTTTTGTTGCTCACTAGTAACTCTCATAACTGCTTGAAATGGACAGAAGTCAAACTAGTCATTAAAATGGGTGATAAATTCAAAATACGTAAAGTGTTGAAACTGACCTCCTCATAACTTCCTTTGTTCTAAACAACAGTGGTAAAGTTTTCAATTAGCCAAGCCTCTGGCAATTTTGTTGGGCAAAGCCTATCATTGTGGCCAACCATCAAATTGAATCTTTCTCCTACTCACCCACCTCATTGCCACACCTGATTCTTCCTGCTACCTATATATTTTGCTCACCCCAGGTATCTCTATTGACTTGAAGAAGCCTCTTGTACAGGTAAAATCTGTTTTTAATTAAGTTTTCTAGAACAATAAACTTGCATTTATTGTCACACTTCAGTCCTTATCAGCAGTCTAATATTCAAATACGTACTTTGTTTAGTATTCTTTTTAATGTCAGCTTTATATTACTTTTAAATATTTATGAAGCTCTTAATTCTGGTTTCTGGAGACGCGACAGTGTGCCATGAATTGTCAAATTACTCATTGAAATACACTTGTGATTATCACATCACACGCGGAAGAATATATCAAGAGGAAATGGGTTTTATTTTTATTTTTATTTTGACATGCTAAGCAACAGTAACACTGCCCATATATGTTGCACACTGTCACTTTTTCTTAACAACTCATAATACCTGTTTTAATCAATATCCAAATGATAATTAACTTAAGATTTGCAATGTCAGTCCCTATATTTGTTAGTTCTTGCTCTATGATAAGTTATTATTTTACTTATTATTATTTATTATTTACTTTTTTAATGCTATTCTCTTTTATTATTATTTGTCATTGAATGGCCATATCCACTGAGATAGGGTAGCCTCAAAAGATAAATGGAGGGAAATTTTTCTTTCCAAATTTTGTAAATGTTTGCAGAAGGGGTTACTAAGCCTTTGCTTCAGATCATTTTAGTTGCCTCTTATGACACACTTGGCCTATGGAGGAAAATTTTTGCTCCAACTTTCCCCATGCGAGATAAGAGGAAATTAACAAGTACAAAGAACTGTTAAGAAAATCGAAGGATAACCCAGAAGGGTGTATGTATATCGTTGTCTTTCATAAACAAATTGACGTATTCCATGAGGAGGGTGGCTCAAAAGGAAAAACGTAAGCTTCTCTTTTTAAACCTAGTAATATATACAGGAGAAGGGGTTACTAGCCCATTTCTGCTGGCATTTTAGTTGCCTCTTACGATACGCATGGCTCACAGAAGAAGAATTCTGTTTCACTTCCCTAGGAGGAAATAAACAAGAAGAACTAGTAAGGAAATAGAAGAAAACCCAGAGGGGTGTGTGTATATACATGTATATGCTTGTCTATGCATGTGCAGTGTGACCTAAGTGTAAGTAGAAGTAGCAAGACGTACCTGAAACCTTGCATGTTTCTTCCTCTTTCAACAAACTGGCCATATCCCACCGAAGCAGGGCGACCCAAGAAGAAAAACTTTAGTAATATGTACAGGAGAAGGGGTTACTAGCCCCTTGCTCCCAGTATCTTAGTCACCACCCTGCATGTTTTTTTTTGTTTTTTTTCAAACATCCAGCAGTTATCCCTACAGGAGGGTGGACCCAAAAAGAAAAAACGAAAGATTTCTTCTTTTTAAATTTAGTAATTTATTACAAAGGGAAGGGATTACTAGCCCTTGCACCCACGGAATTTTAGTCGCCCTCATAATCACGAATGGCTTCTTACGGAGGGAAGAATTTGTTTCACTTCCCAATAGGAGATAAGAGGCTAAAATAAAAAAGACAGAACTAGAAAGAAATTAGCAGAAATAAACCTCGAGGGCGTGTGTATATATATGCTTGTTTATGTGTGTGTAGTGTGATCTAAGTATAGTAAGTAGTAGTAAGCAAGATGTACTGAAATCTTGCGATGTTTATGAGACAGAAAAAATGGACATAGCATTCCGATCATCATGTATTAAACAATTACAGGTTTCTGTTTCCACCACTCACTATGGCAGAGGAGATAGTACCTACTTGGAGTTTGCTGTTATACAACCAACTACCTAGCATTATTATTATTATTAGATTCATTATTATTATTGTGTTCTGCCGAAATAAGAACATCTTAATTGCAAATGTATGGTAATATAAGTTTACAATCAAAAGATATCGTTTCAGTTAGATGTGTTAATTGATATATATATAATTAATGAATACTGAGTGAATTCATTTTATATGTGATTGTTATGATATATTTGTTACACAGACTGATGAAGGTACAACCCCATGCTGGCCATTGACCTCGGTGTTGGAGAGCTGTTATCTGAGATCTTCGCCAAGCGCAAGGAAAACATTAGAAACTCTTGGTTATCCTCTTGGATGTGTTTGATTTTTAAGTGCGCTTTTCCTGCAGTATATATGCTTACTAATTTGCTGTAAAAATAGGGTTAGTCAACTCTAGGTTTGAAAGCATTTATTAGAATAACTGCTATAATTACTGTAATCCTGAGGAGAGTGTCAGCAAAATGGTACTGTGGTAGTGGCTGACTAAAAGTTATTGTCAATAGTGGAGCATTAAGAAAATTTGGGAGGTTTGAGTGTAATAAATATGAGAGAGGCCAAATTAAAAGCATTTGTTTAAATACTGTTTGTGACTCATAGTGAGTGTAACTTTCTTTTTTTTTTTGTAGTCTTTTGTGTGGTATAAAAATACTATATCAGTTAAGGAGTGATATTTATTGTGTTGTAATTTGCAAGTGATCTCCAAGCTAAGATTGATCTTTCTAAAGGCTTTGATATAAAAAACACAAGTCTAAATTAATTTTTGTGCTTTGCAAACGACCAAAGGATCTAAAAGAGGTGATCCTATGATTACCTGTGGAGTATCAAAGCGTATGGATTTGCTCTAGGATAGCAGAGAGGTCTTCAGAAAACCGATGTATGTTGTATTTGTAATTGTGAAACAATTGGCCACGGGAGGATTTGAGCCACAGCGGGGACAGTCTCAAAATGGGTTTCAAAATCCGCCAGTGGTATGGTTTGTTTGCAATTCGTGTCATTTCGATTTCTGTGGTTCATGTGTAATTGTGATTTTTATGAAATTTTTTTTCTTATATACTAGCATTGAATTTTATAATTTTGTTTGATATAGGCTCTACTGAAATGTAAAAAAAAATATATATCTTTATTTGGTGATTTCTCTGAAATTATTAGTAAAAAATATTACTTTCAGACTTTATTGCTTTTGACTCAACTTACAAAAAGCAATACCAATCTTCAGAAGATTGTAGCATTTGAAAATGGCTATGATCATATGTTTGAGATCATTGAAGGAGAGGGATATTCTGATGGTGGTGTGGTTGTTGAAGACTGCCTCATTTTAATGCTTAATCTTCTGCGCAACAACCCTTCAAATCAGACATTTTTTAAGGAAGGTAGGTATTGAGCGGAATGCAAGCATCATTTGTCAACTAAACATTAAAAATGATTTGTATTACAATAACTCGTAGTCATATTTTTATTGACAGTCAGCTTTGGATTCTTGCTTTTTTCTTAAAGACATCGTTCACAAAAAATTTTTGTAAAACTTGGAATTTATTCTTATTTACAGAGTAGCATAATTAATTTTTTCAGGAAGCTATAATTCAGCACTTACTTAATTCTTTTCATTGCCTTTGGACTCAAGAGATGGTTGGTTCTGCAATGAAGGTCACCTAATATTCTCTATTTATGCTACCAGGTTTGTGTCTTTCTTACCTAGTTGTTCATTGCTATTGATAATACAGTTTTCTCAAAGATTAATTATAAAATTTCTTGTGTATATCATTTTTTTCTCTACTGAATTCTAGATTTAGGAATGAGATACATTGTTTTTTCTTTTGCTGTAGATAGACCTAATTTTAACATATATTGAGGGTGTTTGGGTTTTGCAATAGAAGTGGTGAAGATGGATGGATAGTGAGCAGTCATGGTTTATAAAGAAACTATAAAGAGACACTAAAAATTCCATTTAGATATTCATTGTTAATGTGCTAAATTTTCTTATCAAGTTTTTTTATTTTAAGCTAATATTCATGTTAGAAAGAGATAGATTGGTAATATGTAATGCATTTTTTATGAAAAGGGATAAATACAATATACAAGGTTTGATGTAGCACGTATGAAAGTTGTTTATTGATTATGTTTTGGGTGGATAAAAGGTTTGATGGTAGGCTCCAGATGTACATGTTTATAGAGGGCAACTGATATTATAGGATCATTATTTAGTTGTAGCTACAGTTAGAGTATGAGGTAGATGGGAAATGAGGAGGTTGGCAACATATCAAGTATTGTGGAGTGAATGTGTATAAACTAAAGGGAGGAGGAGGTCGGGTGGTTTATAAGTGACATATTGGGAGAAAAGGTGGGCTAGTGCAAAGATGGAGTAGTGGGGGGGGGTTGAAGGAGGGTTGGAATAGTTTAAAAATGCAGTTTTAGAATGTGGGGCAGAAGTTTGTGGTTATAGGATGGGTGGGGGCAGGAGGAAAGAAGGACGTGATTGGTGGAATGAGAAGTAAAGGGTGTGATAAAGAGAAAAAGCGTAGCTTTGAGAGGTTTTTACAATGCAGAATGTGTTATAAGAACGATGCAGAGTACAGAAACGGCCACGCTTTACGGGCGTTTCACTCATTTCGGCGTTACGCTAATACGGGACATTTCAAATTTGACCAAACTCACTATACGGCTCCCCACACCTGACTTTCTAATACGGACACCGTGCCACACCCTGTTTGGTTACATTCTCCATGTGAGCAGTAAGACTAAGTCTCTCCATTTTGTCTGGAAACTCCAAATTCAAATGTTTTTTTAAAAGTTATTTCATATTTTTATATATACTCTGATATTATTACTTATGTTTATACCTGTACCTAAATAAACTTTACATAATCAAGTCATTTAATATGTGTATATTACGTTAATATACACATTTTCTTTAATCCATCATGATATTTTTTCAAAATTATATAATAACACTGTACATAACATAAAAAAGATGATAAATAAACCCCCACAATAGAATAAATTAAAATTTTAAACATAAATATAAAGATGTGGGAGCCTGGTTTGTTTACTCTGTGCCTGGCACCTGTCACTCTCATGTACTCATTCTTTCTCTCTCCTCATTTATGCGTTTTTTTCATTTACTTACTCCTGACCCTACATTTAAGATAGACATAATATTTTTAAGGGTAAGTAATGAGTGAACTGTATATAACATTTTTTCGCTCTGGGCATGCTTAAATATCCATAGTATTAGTATGTGTGGGTGGGGTGGGCCTGGCTATTACATTACATACCACACTTGATTTATTACTTATAAATTACTAAACCCCCTTTGTCCTCACCATAGATTAAGCACAATAAATATTTTAAGGTAAGTATACTGGAGTGCACTATGTGTGTATTGTACCTTTTTATTGTTTTTTGATGCCTGGTTCTATTGCTAACTTAAATAATTGTTAGTGGTAAACTTGTTATCTAGTGTTTGTATGGCATTTATACGTGGAAAAAAAAAGCGGTGTCCACGTAACGGCGGTGTACCGCTTTCGGCGGTAGCCTGGAAACCTAACCCGCCGTATAAGTGGGGCCTTTCCTGTATATGGAGAGTAAAAGAAAGGACAAAGAAGAGTGTGTGAGAGTGCAAATGGGAGCAGAAGATAGAGTGGAAGAGGCACTGTCAAGATATTTTAATGATATAAGAATAAAATTTTGGAGTGAGTTAAACAAGTATGAAAAGCTAGGGAAAGTATGGATTTTGTCAGTTAAAAACAGAGTAGGGGAGTTAGTAGATAGGGGATGGGGTATTAGGTAGATGGCATGAATATTTTGAGGAACTTTTTAATGTTTAAGGAAGAGAGAGGAGTAATTCATACACTGGTCAGGGATGTGTATACATCTTTTAGGACGTGAAAAGAAGAGAGATTGTAAGTGTGGGGTTGGTTACGTGAGGCATTACGTAGAATGTAAAGTGGGGTATAGGGTACAGCAGTGGAACTGGATGGGATATGACAGGAAAATGTATTAAAAGCAGGGGGGGATATATTGTTGGAGTGGTTGGTACTTTTGTTTAATAAATGTTTTTGAGAAAGAAGGGGAAAGTACCTAGGGATTGGCGCAGAGAGCATGTATAGTCCCTTTATATAAAGGGAAAGGGGACAAAAGAGATTGTAAAAATTATAGAGGAAAAGTTTACTGAGATATACCAGAAAAGTTGTTCAGCTAGAGGCTTATAATTGAAAGAATTAGAGGTAAGACAGAAATGTAGGATTGCGGATGAGCAAGGAGGTTTCAGATGTTGGGTAGGGAATGTGTTGATAATTGTTTACATTGACAGCATATATGTGAACCAGTATTTAGATAAAGGTAGGGAAGTTTTTATTGCATTTTCGGATTTAGATAAGGATTATGAGGAGAAGTGAGATAGAGGGAGCAATGAGGCAGATGTATTGAAGTATTTGGATTAGGTGGTAGTATATTAAATGCTGGAAAGAGTTTTTATGAGGGATTGTGAGGCCTCAGGTTAAGGTGTGTAAGAAGTGAGGGAGACTATCTGACCGGTAAATGTAGGTCTTAGTCTGGGTGTATGGTAATGTCACCATGGTGTTTAATCTATTTATAGTTGGGGTTTGTAAAGAAAGTAAATACTAGGGTGTTCGGACAGAGGGTGGAAGATTAAATTTTGGGGAATCAAAATCAAAATGGGAATTGACAAGTTACTTTTTGCTGAGGCTTACTGTGCTTATGGTGATTCTAAAAGAAAATTTCAAAGGTTAGTGGATGAGTTTGGGGAATGTGTGTTAAGTTAAGAAAGTTTGGAAAAGTGAAACATAGAAAGAGTAAGGTGATGAGGGTATTTCAAATGATTTAGAGAAAGAAAAATTGGGATATCAAATTGGGGCAGGGGAGGAGTATGGAAGAAGTGGAATGTTTTCGATACTTGGGAGTGGACGTGTTGGCGGCATGGGCATTTATGAAGGATGAGGTTAATCATAGAATTGATGAGGGAAAAACGGTGAGTTGAGTGAAGTGTGAGTGATGCATGAGGTATATGTGGAGTCAAAAACGTTATCTATGGAGCAATGATAGGGAATGTGTATGAAAGTTATAGTAGTACCAACAGGGCAGAATTAAGAGTCTCCGGCCATAGGTATTCAGATTGGGCGGGGCCTTTGAGTTACGGGTAAGGCGAAGCGGACCCTTCCAGCTTGGGGGTTGTGGGCGGGGGGTCAGGTTGTGAACCTGTTTAAAGGTCGAATTAAATACATTCATGGCTAGTTAGAATTAAAATTAATAGGAAAGTACATCAGAGACATCCAAACATTTACCAACCAGCCTTTATAACTATCTTGTTAAATTCATGCTTTTAAAGAGAACTAAACTCAAGACAGTTTTGTATTACTAGATTTAGGCTATTAAAGTAGTGACTTCACTGTAACTATTACTTATTCCAGCATAACCACTACAGCACTATTATTCCCTTTATAATCACGGACCAATGATTTTTTTTATCATTGCTTCATGCATAAGACTATCATAATTCATATAAACTCAAGAAAAAGAAGTAAAGAATTGTTTATTATTCACAGGCTCTTCTTAATTAAACGTTTTCAGGTTTCAATTGGCAAAATCATCATTTTTATTATGAAAATCGATATTTTCTTGTTAGATCCAGCAATCAATGGTCATACAAGCTAGTTACACAATTTGTCTTGGGACTCATGTTGAACGGAGTGGTTTTTCACACTTTTCAAAACAGAAAATGAACGTTCTCCTTCAACAGTTAGTAGCTGGAAGTGTTTGGTAAAGGCGATTACACTATGTCTAACATTAGGGAAGGTTTCTTGAGTACATGCATTTCTTAAATGTTTCAAAGCAGCTGAGGGCACACATTTTTTCAGGTGGAGCTTTAATCTGTTCATGTACCAGAAAAAAATAACTATTTCTTCAACAAATGTGTCCTGAAACATCTGCTGAAGGTGGTGTTGAACTTTAATTGCAGCCTTTCTCAATTCTGCATGGGCATAGTAGTATTTTGAACAGAATCCAACTTGTCATTGAGATTCTGGTAGTTTCTTTTCTTTTCACCAATTCTGTATTCAGTGAATCCCGATAATGACCGAAGGAGTAGCTGTCATTTCTATTTTCTGCCTGGTAGCAACATCATTTCATTGTCTGGCTCTTCAAAATTGTGTTTCCTCTTCCTTGTACCGCTGTGTTCAGCCCGGGTAACTGTAGTCTGTCACCAGGAGTTTAGCTTCTCTTCAACAAATCAAAAGTTCTCATTGCGGAAGTGAGGCTTACAAATTCCACTAAGGCCTGCATAGAGGTTACGCACAATAGGCCAATTCAATTTCATTTTCATGATGTGTCTTGTTCGTGGCATTTAACCATTCCAGTAGTACAGTCCCAAAGCACACAGCGTTAAGGCCAATTCAAAATCTTCAATTTTGTGCATAATGCGGCTTGCTTCGCTTCTTGTGTAGATGCTGTCTGGTCTTCATCCTCTGCTATTTGGATCCAAGAGCAGAACGTATTTCAGCAAAGCTGTATTTCTAAGCATGTGTTGCTCATGCTGCGCTGCCTCCTTGTTGTTGATAATGATTTGTTGACATCTCCATCGAATGGTAGTTGACTTGAGGTATACTCCACCGATGAGTTGAAGCAAGTGAAAAAATTTAAGAAGTGCTTGTAAAGTCAAAAAAATGAAAACTGCAGCGACACAACACTCTGCAAGCACTTGACCCATAACGATTAAGAGAATGTGCTGAGGCAGGGCTCTTTTTCAGATACGTGGGTTGATTTGCTTGGATACGGCTTGCAATTCCATTTATTATTTAGCCCAACATGTTACTTGCATTTTCATAGGCTTGGCACGGAATCCATAAAGAGAGATCCATGTTCAAGCAGTAGTATCTGTTAACTACAAATTCATATTGTTTCTCCTTAGGTCCATTAGCCTGAAAGAGGATATGAATATTTTATAAGCGCTCTACAGGCTTCACCACTGGAGTCGACAAAGCGATACAATGAATGTCAATTGACATGTATGTGGAAATATTGGTGTAGAATCTACACTTATTGCCAAAGTATTTTGCAGTATTCACAGCTGCTATGATGTGTTGAGGACCTTTAGTCTTTCAGGTTCTATAAATTACATTGCATAACGTAGATGACATTTAAGTCAGGCCTCTTCCTGAATTCCCAAGGCGGTGACACATGATGTGCTAAGAATGGATCGAATTGTGCTAACAATTCTATGGAATCCCTAGGGAAAATTGCCATTGGTTTTCCAAACAAAAACCTCATTTTCTCCACCATGGAAAGGCAAGTCTCTTGAGATAAGAATTTACGAACAGCAACAAATCTTTTCTAGAACTATTTCTCCAATAAGTGCGATCTTTTTCTGTGTGATTTTTCCAAATGAGCATCCAAATAAGCCTTTTGCTCGTGCACGATAATACAATGGCTCAAAATGCCAGCTCCTGTGAGTGGTGCTGTTTTCATGTTCTCGAATACACTTGGACATTTTTTCCAGTCATTGAACCCCTGTGTGAAGGTATTTTCTTTGGAGAAAATAGCTTGCATGCTGCGGAAACAGTACACTTTTCTGAGCTTTCATGAGTTGTACCATCCATGATCTCTTTTCACAGGCTTCTGAATTTGCAAGCTTCCTATAAAACATAGATGACTAAAGTCAATGTTCAGAGTTTGACTGAAGTTTTCTGCAAAGAATGCTTTTCGTAGAGAAATCTGGGATTACATTTTGGCCATGAGGCGGGTCTTTTAAGACCTAATCCTGTGGATGAAAATGTCCAGTTGAGACTTTGGGAGGAGGACTACAATAGAAGTAGATGCTGCTGTGAAATAAGGAGGCGAGGCTTCCTGTATGAACTGACGTATCTGCAGATTAATGTAATGGTATCTTCAGAAATGTTTTCGTGAACATGTCTGTGATCTTTCTGCAGCTTCCTACAATCTTAGCTTTTTTCGTTTCTTCTTGAATTTTTTCTTTCTTTTCTGTAACCCATCTCGCTTATAGAAACAAGTCCAACACATGTTCACGTCGAGATGCCATAAAGAAGGATGTATCACTGTCTGTAATCATGAAAATGTGCAAGTTTGTCATTATCAAATTATTATTAATTTTTTAAATTTGTATTAATTTTTTTTTCTGTCAATTGGGGGTTATGGCCCTTTGTAGCCCCTTTCTTGGCTGCACGCATCTAAAATTCAAAACGTTACAGATAGGAGTCATATTACAGAACTATTTACCATAGATTAGGTTGGTGATTTGGGCTACGAATATTTTACTAATTCATCCTCCTTGATCTCCAATTTAATTAAACAGAAATCATTTACTGAGTCAAGACAATTGCACAACGGTATTATGTTACCATTTTCATAACTAAACTAATCATTATGTTGTGGAATGAGATTGGCCCCTTCCACCATTGATATGGGACAGAGAATAAAGAATGCAGGGACAATTTTTCGGTTCACCCAACAAACGTTTTTCTATGTGGTTATGTGTTTCGGGGAATGTTGTAAAATTAATTGATGTTCTACATCACATCCGCTCGCAACTTGAAACTAAGCATTTGCGACGGAAGTGAGTTGTAGACATCAATCAATTGAGTTCTGTTATTGAAATGATAAAGACTTAAAAGACAGGTACAAAGTGCTTTTAAAACGTAAAAAAGGAAGTCAGTTTGCGTTTTTAGGTGTTTCTTTATAGTATTTTTACCAAAAAATGGCGTATTTACTGGTCCATGCGTCTTTATGGTCAAGTAACCTCATCAACAACCAGTTATTTGTCCCGAGTTACAAGTCTAGATAACGTGTAATTACTATCAGAAAATTGGCTGGGAATCTCCCATCACTTCACCCATTAACGGGAAGAAACACAAGTCTAGTTCTGATGTAAACAAAGGCGTGTTGAGTGTTACCATCTGTGGTTAGGTTTATTTATTTTGATTTTTATTTTATTGCATTAGTTATTTTTGTTTTTGATTAATTTTTAAAAATCAATTTTACTCTCACAAACACTTGAACTTTTTAGGTATGGGACCCTTTGCACTTGGCACCATGTGCCGCAGTCTTGGATGAGCCCCTGAACCCCTTGGGACCGCGGGTGGTGCCCCAAATGCGGAGGGGCCCTAGGCAAATGACTAGTTTGCCTATGCGGTTAATCCGGACCCCTGTTAGTACCAACATTCTTATATGGGTGTGAAGCTTGGGTGGTAAATGCAGCAGTGAGGAGACGGTTGGAGGCAGTGGAGATGTCTGTTTACGAGGCAATGTGTGGTTGAAAATATTTTGGCCAGAAAATTCGGAGTGTGGAAATTAGGAAAGCATGTTGAGTTAATAAAAAGTATAGTCAGAGGGCAGAAAGAGGGGTTGTCTGAGGTGGTTTTGGTCATTTTAGAGAGAATGGATCAAAGTAGAGACATGGAAAGCATCTCTAGAAATCTGTAGGGGAAGGAAGGCGAGGTAGGGGTCGTCATCGAAGGGTGGAGAGAGGGGGTAAAGGAGGTTTTGGGGGCAAGGGGCTTGGATTCCAGCAAGCGTGCGTGAGCATGTTAGATAGGAGTGAATGGAGACGAATGGTACTTGGGACCTGACGATCTGTTGGAGTGTGAGCAGGGTAATATTTAGTGAAGGGATTCAGGGAAACCGGTTATTTTCATATAGTCGGACTTGAGTCCTGGAAATGGGAAGTACAATGCCTGCACTTTAAAGGAGGGGTTTGGGATATTGGCAGTTTGGAGGGATATGTTGTGTATCTTTATACGTATATGCTTCTAAACTGTTGTATTCTGAGCACCTCTGCAAAAACAGTGATAATGTGTGAGTGTGGTGAAAGTGTTGAATGTTGATGAAAGTATTTTCTTTTTGGGGATTTTCTTTCTTTTTGGGGTCACCTTGCCTCGGTGGGAGACGGCTGACTTGTTGAAAAAAAAAAAATTCATGTAGGAGCATGTTTTCCATTTTCTGTGATAACTCTTAGTTTTAAGACTAGACCTCATTGTCTTCACTACTAATATATTTCCACATTTTTTTCATCATTTTTTTTAAAATGCATTTATCTTTAGTATGAGTTCTTTGGTATGTGGTTGTTTTGTGCAGAAGTGGAAGGTTCCTATTTTGATACAGGAGGGTCCCACTTATATGGCAGGTTAGGTTCCAGGCTACCGCAGTAAAGCGAGTTGCCCTATTTTTCACTGTTAAATACACATAAATGCCTGATAATATGTTTACACTAGTGCATATACAGGGCCACATCCCTTTATCCGAAATTCTAAAATTCGAAAAGTTCCGAAAACCGAAGTTTTTTCCTAGAGTGTGGAGCGTCAGTCATCTGTATTACAGCCTTGTGACCAAGGAATTTTATGCTCCATGAAGAGCAAGTATAAAGACTATTTTTTAAACTGTATGCTTGCTGCAGTCAACGAGGAGTAGGAATCCAAGACTTTCTGAAAGAGTTCAGTATTAAGGATGCCATTTATGCAGTTGTTAATGCTTAGAAGAATGTTGATAAATCAATTTTAACAAATGCTTGGCACAGACTTTAGTTTAAAACGAAGTTTGATGTAAATGAACCTACAGATGAAGACTTTGAAGGATTTTGTGTCACTGATAAAATGATGAAGATATCAAACCTCAAAACTTACACTAAAAGTTTATCGGAGGAAAGCATAAATAAGTTACAGGAAGCTAACATCGAAGAAATGCTGAACATTGACAATGATGCACCTGTTGTGCATTCCCTAGTAGTATTTGTAGTCTTTATTTATTGCACTTAGTGTGAGTGTTCATACGTTTTTGCTGCAGTGTTAATGTTTGATTATGGGGTGCTGCCATAGACCCCACCTTCATTCTGAAATTTGAAACACTACTGGCCCCAAGGGTTTCAGATAAAGGGTTGTGGACCTGTATTAAGTTATCAGTAGAACTAGACATAAAAATAAAAGAGTAAAATGCATATACGTACAGTACACTCATTACCTAACTTAATATATTTGTAGCCTTAATATAGGGTGAAAGGTGAGTAGTATTTATTGTAGGAAGTCTAAGTGTGGTAGCCTGCACAGCTATATTAATTTGTTTTGCTGTGACTGTATATATTTTGTTTATATGATACATAGCATGTATCTTATATAATTTTTTTAAAAATATAGATAGATTAATGAAAATATCTATAGGTTGGTAGACAGCAACCACCCAGGGAGGTACTACCGTCCTGCCAAGTGAGTGTAAAACGAAAGCCTGTAATTGTTTTACATGATGGTAGGATTGCTGGTGTCTTTTGTCTGTCTCATAAATATGCAAGATTACAGGCATGTCTTGCTACTTCTACTTACACTTAGGTCACACTACACATACATGTACACATTTATTTATACACACTCATCTGAGTTTTCTTTGATTTTATCTTAATAGTTCTTGGTCTTATTACTTTTCCTTTTATATCCATGGGGAAGTGGAATAAGAATCTTTCCTCCGTAAGCCATGCGTGTTGTAAAAGTCAACTAAAATGCCGGGAACAATGGGCTAGTAACCCCTTTTCCTGTAAAGATTACTAAAAAGAATAAGAAGAAGAAAATTGTCAAAGTGGGAAGTCTGAATGTGCGTGGATGTTGTGCAAATGATAAGAAAGAGATGATTGTGGATGTTATGAATGAGAAGAAACTGGATGTCCTGGCTTTAAGTGAAACAAAGCTGAAGGGGGTGGGAGAGTTTCAAAGGAAAAGAATAAATGGGATTAGGTCAGGGGTTTCAAATAGAGTTAGAGCTAAAGAAGGAGTAGCAATAATGTTGAAGGATAAGATATGGCAGGAAAAGAGGGACTACAAATGTATAAATTCAAGGATTATGTGGAGTAAAATAAAGATTGGATGTGAAAAGTGGGTTATAGTAAGCGTGTATGCACCTGGAGAAGAAAGAAGTGTAGAGGAGAGAGAGAGATTCTGGGAAATGTTGAGTGAATGCGTGGGGAGTTTTGAATCAAGTGTGAGAGTAATGGTGGTTGGGGATTTCAATGCTAAAGTGGGTAAAAATGTTATAGAGGGAGTAGTAGGTAAATTTGGGATAATTTTTTTTTTTTTTTATTATTATCACACCGGCCGATTCCCACCAAGGCAGGGTGGCCCGAAAAAGAAAAACTTTCACCATCATTCACTCCATCACTGTCTTGCCAGAAGGGTGCTTTACACTACAGTTTTTAAACTGCAACATTAACACCCCTCCTTCAGAGTGCAGGCACTGTACTTCCCATCTCCAGGACTCAAGTCCGGCCTGCCGGTTTCCTGAATCCCTTCATAAATGTTACTTTGCTCACACTCCAACAGCACGTCAAGTATTAAAAACCATTTGTCTCCATTCACTCCTATCAAACACGCTCACGCATGCCTGCTGGAAGTCCAAGCCCCTCGCACACAAAACCTCCTTTACCCCTCCTCCAACCCTTCCTAGGCCGACCCCTACCCGCCTTCCTTCCACTACAGACTGATACACTCTTGAAGTCATTTTTGTTTCGCTCCATTCTCTCTACATGTCCGAACCACCTCAACAACCCTTCCTCAGCCTCTGGACAACAGTTTTGGTAATCCCGCACCTCCTCCTAACTTCCAAACTACGAATTCTCTGCATTATATTCACACCACACATTCCCCTCAGACATGACATCTCCACTGCCTCCAGCCTTCTCCTCGCTGCAACATTCATCACCCACGCTTCACACCCATATAAGAGCGTTGGTAAAACTATACTCTCATACATTCCCCTCTTTCCCTCCAAGGACAAAGTTCTTTGTCTCCACAGACTCCTAAGTGCACCACTCACTCTTTTTCCTCATCAATTCTATGATTCACCTCATCTTTCATAAAACCCATCTGCTGACACGTCCACCCCCAAAATATCTGAATACGTTCACCTCCTCCATACTCTCTCCCTCCAATTGATATTCAATCTTTCATCACCTAATCTTTTTGTTATCCTCATAACCTTACTCTTTCCTGTATTCACCTTTAATTTTCTTCTTTTGCACCCCCTACCAAATTCATCCACCAATCTCTGCAACTTCTCTTCAGAATCTCCCAAGAGCACAGTGTCATCAGCAAAGAGCAGCTGTGACAACTCCACTTTGTGTGTGATTCTTTATCTTTTAACTCCACGCCTCTTGCCAAGACCCTCGCATTTACTTCTCTTACAACCCCATCTATAAATATATTAAACAACCACGGTGACATCACAATCCTTGTCTAAGGCCTACTTTTACTGGGAAAAAATTTCCCTCTTTCCTACATACTCTAACTTGAGCTCACTATCCTCGTAAAAACTCTTCACTGCTTTCAGTAACCTACCTCCTACACCATACACTTGCAACATCTGCCACATTGCCCCCCTATCCACCCTGTCATACGCCTTTTCCAAATCCATAAATGCCACAAAGACCTCTTTAGCCTTATCTAAATACTGTTCACTTATTATGTTTCACTGTAAAACACCTGGTCCACAAACCCCCTACCTTTCTAAAGCCTCCTTGTTCATCTGCTATCCTATTCTCCGTCTTACTCTTAATTCTTTCAATTATAACTCTACCATACACTTTACCAGGTACACTCAACAGACTTATCCCCCTATAATTTTTGCACTCTCTTTTATCCCCTTTGCCTTTATACAAAGGAACTATGCATGCTCTCTGCCAATCCCTAGGTACCTTACCTTCTTCCATACATTTATTAAATAATTGCACCAACCACTCCAAAACTATATCCCCACCTGCTTTTAACAGTTCTATCTTTATCCCATCAATCCCGGCTGCCTTACCCCCTTTCATTTTACCTACTGCCTCACGAACTTCCCCCACACTCACAACTGGCTCTTCCTCACTCCTACAAGATGTTATTCCTCCTTGCCCTATACACGAAATCACAGCTTCCCTATCTTCATCAACATTTAACAATTCCTCAAAATATTCCTTCCATCTTCCCAATACCTCTAACTCTCCATTTAATAACTCTCCTCTCCTATTTTTAACTGACAAATCCATTTGTTCTCTAGGCTTTCTTAACTTGTTAATCTCACTCCAAAACTTTTTCTTATTTTCAACAAAATTTGTTGATAACATCTCACCCACTCTCTCATTTGCTCTCTTTTTACATTGCTTCACCACTCTCTTAACTTCTCTCTTTTTCTCCAGGGGTAAATGTAAATGGGGAGCCTTTAATTGAGCTATGTGTAGAAAGAAATTTGGTAATAAGTAATACATATTTTATGAAAAAGAAGATAAATAAATATACAAGGTATGATGTAGCATGTAATGAAAGTAGTTTGTTAGATTATGTATTGGTGGATAAAAGGTTGATGGGTAGGCTCCAGGATGTACATGTTTATAGAGGGGCAACTGATATATCGGATCATTATTTAGTTGTAGCTACAGTTAGAGTAAGAGGTAGATGGGAAAAGAGGAAGATGGTAACAACAAGTAAGAGGGAGGTGAAAGTGTATAAACTAAGGGAGGAGGAAGTTCGGGCGAGATTATAAGCAACTATTGGCAGAAAGGTGGGCTAGTGCAAAGATGAGTAGTGGGGGGATTGAAGAGGGTTGGAATATTTTTAAAAATGCAGTATTAGAATGTGGGGCAGAAGTTTGTGGTTATAGGAGGGTGGGGCAGGAGGAAAGAGGAGTGATTGGTGGAAATGATGAAGAAAAAGGGTGTGATAAAAGAGAAAAAGGTAGCTTACGAGAGGTTTTTACAAAGCAGAAGTGTTACAAGAGCAGCAGAGTATATGGAGAGTAAAAGAAAGGTGAAGAGAGTGGTGAGAGAGTGCAAAAGGAGAGCAGATGAAAGAGTGGGAGAGGCACTGTCAAGAAATTTTAATGAAAATAATAGAAAAATTTGGAGTGAGTTAAACAAGTTAAGAAAGCCTAGGGAAAGTATGGATTTGTCAGTTTAAAAACAGAGTAGGGGAGTTAGTAGATGGGGAGAGGGAGGTATTAGGTAGATGGAGAGAATATTTTGAGGAACTTTTAAATGTTGAGGAAGAAAGGGAGGCGGTAATTTCATGCATGGCCAGGGAGGTATACCATCTTTTAGGAGTGAAGAAGAGCAGAATGTAAGTGTGGTGGAGGTATGTGAGGCATTACGTAGAATGAAAGGGGGTAAAGCAGCTGGAACTGATGGGATCATGACAGAAATGTTAAAAGCAGGGGGGGATATAGTGTTGGAGTGGTTGGTACTTTTGTTTAATAATGTATGAAAGAGGGGAAGGTACCTAGGGATTGGCGGAGAGCATGTATAGTCCCTTTATATAAAGGGAAAGGGGACAAAAGAGATTGTAAAAATTATAGAGGAATAAGTTTACTGAGTATACCAGGAAAAGTATACGGTAGGGTTATAATTGAAAGAATTAGAGGTAAGACAGAATGTAGGATTGCGGATGAGCAGGGAGGCTTCAGAGTGGGTAGGGGATGTGTAGATCAAGTGTTTACATTGAAGCATATATTTTGAACAGTATTTAGATAAAGGTAGGAAAGTTTTTATTGCATTTATGGATTTAGAAAAGGCATATGATAGAGTGGATAGAGGAGCAATTTGGCAGATGTTGCAAGTATATGGAATAGTTGGTAAGTTACTAAATGCTGTAAAGAGCTTTTATGAGGATAGTGAGGCTCTGGTTAGGGTGTGTAGAAGAGAGGGAGAATACTTCCCGGTAAAAGTAGGTCTTAGACAGGGATGTGTAATGTCACCATGGTTGTTTAATATATTTATAGATGGGGTTGTAAAAGAAGTAAATGGTAGGGTGTTTGGGAGAGGGGTGGGATTAAATTATGGGGAATCAAATTCAAAATGGGAATTGACACAGTTACTTTTTGCTGATGATACTGTGCTTATGGGAGATTCTAAGAGAAAATTGCAAAGGTTAGTGGATGAGTTTGAGAATGTGTGTAAAGGTAGAAAGTTGAAAGTGAACATAGAAAAGAGTAAGGTGATGAGGGTATCAAATGATTTAGATAAAGAAAAATTGGATATCAAATTGGGGAGGAGGAGTATGGAAGAAGTGAATGTTTTCAGATACTTGGGAGTTGACGTGTCGTCGGATGGATTTATGAAGGATGAGGTTAATCATAGAATTGATGAGGGAAAAAAGGTGAGTGGTGCGTTGAGGTATATGTGGAGTCAAAAAACGTTATCTATGGAGGCAAAGAAGGGAATGTATGAAAGTATAGTAGTACCAACACTCTTATATGGATGTGAAGCTTGGGTGGTAAATGCAGCAGTGAGGAGACGGTTGGAGGCAGTGGAGATGTCCTGTCTAAGGGCAATGTGTGGTGTAAATATTATGCAGAAAATTCGGAGTGTGGAAATTAGAAGGTGTGGAGTTAGTAAAAGCATTAGTCAGAGGGCAGAAGAGGGGTTGTTGAGGTGGTTTGGTCATTTAGAGAGAATGGATCAAAGTAGAATGACATGGAAAGCATATAAATCTATAGGGGAAGGAAGGAGGGGTAGGGGTCGTCCTCAAAAGGGTTGGAAAGAGGGGGTAAAGGAGGTTTTGTGGGCTAGGGGCTTGGATTTCCAGCAAGCGTGCATGAGCGTGTTAGATAGGAGTGAATGGAGGCGAATGATACTTGGGACCTGACGATCTGTTGGAGTGTGAGCAGGGTAATATTTAGTGAAGGGATTCAGGGAAACCGGTTATGTTCATATAGTCGGACTTGAGTCCTGGAAATGGGAAGTACAATGCCTGCACTTTAAAGGAGGGGTTTGGGATATTGGCAGTTTGGAGGGATATGTTGTGTATCTTTATACGTATATGCTTCTAAGCTGTTGTATTCTGAGCACCTCTGCAAAAGCAGTGATAATGTGTGAGTGTGGTGAAAGTGTTGAGTGATGATGAAAGTATTTTCTTTTGGGGGATTTTCTTTCTTTTTTGGGTCACCCTGCCTCGGTGGGAGACGGCCGACTTGTTGAAAAAAAAAAAAAATCTATAATAATGTATTATACGACATTTAAAGCATTCCAGAGAGATTATTATTATTGCCATTGGCATACCTTGTTCACTGAGTTTAATTATTTCTAACATGGCATTTAAAGTAAAAGGCTTATGACTCCTCTTTTCATCACAATTACCCTTAGATGCCATCGTAAATGAGAGGATGAGTAAACAAGAGAGAACGAGTGAACATAAGAGTAAATGAGAGAGAGAGAACAAGTAAACCAAAGAGAACGAATAAGCAAGAGAGAGAGAACGAGTAAACGAGAGAGAGAACAAGTGAGAGAGAGAGAGTAAGCAAGTGAGAGAGAGAGAGAATGAGTAAGCAAACAAATGAGAGAGATGCAGAGTTCATGGAGAATATAAACAAATCAAGAGTGAATGGGTGGTGGATGGTCAGACGACCATGTATTAATACCTGTCTGGTTGCTGGTCAGTACGTGTTCATTTTGCATTATGCATTCATTTGTGAAACGTTTCCACCACAGTGCAAACACCTTACATTGTGTACAAGTTGTCTTAACATTGGTGCAGTAGAGTACATAATGGCAACATTCCCATTCTCATGTAACACCATTTTGAGAGCGAGTGATGCTATTTATGAGTGAAGGCATGACGTTCACTGGTGGTAAGTTCCAGCTGCTTAGGTATAGAAAGAATGAAGAACTCAAAAGGAACACTATACATGTATACAAAACTCAAGAGGGTCACCAAACAGAATGAAAGGAACACATAAAAAAACTGGGAATAATTATGTCAGCTGACCTTTCTTTTAAAGACCATAACAAAACAAAGATCACAACAGTCAGAAAGATGATGGGGTGGGTATTAAAAATTTTCAGATCAAGGGAAATAATGCCAATGGTGATACTCTTCAAATCGCTAGTGCTCCCTCGTTTAGAATATTGCTCAGTGCTGATGGCCCCATTCAAAGCAGGAAAATATCAGAGCTGGAACAAATACAGAGATCGTTTATGGCTCACATTGAGCCAGTAAAGCACCTAAATTACTGGGAACGCCTTCAAGTCTTAAACATGTCCCATTGGAGTGGAGGAGAGACAGATACGTACATGATAGTATATACCTGAAAAGTACTCAAGGGCCTGGTTCCAAATCTGCACACTGCCATAACAACATACTGGAGTGAGAGATATGGGAGGAAGTGCAAAATAAACCCAGTCAGGAGCAGGGGTGCAGTGGGGACAATAAGGGAGCACTGTATCAACATTCGGGATTCAAGACTATTCAACATCTTACCAGAAGATGTCAGAAACATGGCTGGAACAAGTGTAGAAACCTTCAAGAGGAAACTGGACAAGTATCTTCACCAGGTGCCAGGTCAACCAGGCTGTGATGGATATTTGGGGCAGTGGGCCTCCAGCAGCAACAGTACGAGATGAGCCTGGCCCATGGCTGGGCTCCAAGAGTAGTGAAACTCTCGAAACTCTTCAAAGGTATATCAAAGGTAAGGTATGTATGAGTGATGGTGAAAGTGTTGAATGATGATGAAAGTTTTTTCTTTCTTTTTGGGTCACCCTGCTTTGGTGGGAAATGGCCGATGTGTTAAAAATTGAGATGTCCGTATTTGCGAATCACCATAAAACGGGGCTATCCTGTACATTTTAATGAAGAAATGTTGATTTTTATATTAAAATTTTGGGAGATTGTGTTCACTCTTATTTTAAAACTGACTCTCAAAAAATTGAGGTACTCTGTTGTCTCCAAAGATAATTAAGTAGTGCTAATTTATAAAATTTCTCAAAAGTGAATTAGCAGAGGTAGAAAACTCATCAAAATCAGGAGTTGGACGTAATTTATTCATCAGTAAACCTGCAGGTTAACCTGTAATTTTGGGCTGTCACTTTTTTTTTGTATGTGAACTGTATACTGTCATTTTTTGTTTGAAGAAAAGCTTAAAATGTGACTGTGTATACAGTAGTTACCTTTCAACAGCTAGTGCAAACTTTGGTGGCCCCTCAGAACCCAGCACAAGTGGTTACATCATGCCAGAAGGTAATGAATCAGTGTGGACTTCTGCAAGCCCTCACTGGACTCTTAATGGCCTCGGGTGTTCCTGTTGACATCCTCACTGACACCATTACCACTGTCTCAGACATGATTCGTGGTAGCCAACCTAATCAAGAATTTTTTGCTAGTATGATGGCCCCTTCATCACCGCCTAGGTATTGGTTACTACAGTATAAGTTTACATGTAACTTACTCTTAATAGAAAATAGTTACAGTACAGTATATGTATATAAGAAAAGGTTATGTTGGCTGTGCCTTTTGTAAGTGTTACAAAAAATTCTTATGTTAATAATTAATAATAAGAGTGTTAATATTAACAACAATAATATTAATAATATTGAAAGTGTTGAATGATGGTGAAAGTGTTTTTCTTTTTTGGGTCACCCTGCCTCGGTGTTGAAAAACAAAGACTAGCAACCACCCAGAGAGGTACTACCATCCTTCCAGATGACTGAAATGGAATCCTGTAATTATTTTACACATTAATAGAACTGCTTGTGGCTTTTCTTTCTGTCTAATAAACATGCAAGATAACAGGTACATCTTGCTACTTTTGCTTACACTTAGGTCACACTACACATGCATCTACACATATTTATACACACTCATCAGATATATCAGGTCATTATTTAGTTTTAGCTACAAGTGAGAGTATGAGGTAGATAGGGTGCAGGGAGAATGGTATCAATAAGAGAGAGAGAGAGAGAGAGAGAGAGAGGTGAAAGCTTATAAACTAAAGGAGGAGGTAGTTAGGTAAGATATAAGCAACAATAGGGAGAATGGGCAAGTGAGAGTATAGGTAATGAGGAGGTTGAAGAGTTGTGGGGTAGATTAAGAATACAGTGTTATTGTGCAGCAGAAGTTTGTGGATATAGGAGGGTGGGTGTAGGAGGGAAAAGGAGTGATTGGTAGAATGAATGATAAGGTAAAGGGAGTGGTAAAGGAGAAAAAGTTAGTTTATGAGAGATTTTACAAAGCAGAAGTGATATCAGGAGGGTGGAGTACATGGAGAATAAAAGAGAAGTTATGAGAGTAGTGAGAGAGTGTAAAAGGAGAGCCAATGAGAGTTTACACTTGGAGTATACCTGGAGGGTGTTCCGGGGGTCAGTGCCCCCTGCAGCCCGGTCCATGACCAGGCCTCGTGGTGGATCAGGGCCTGATCAACCAGGCTGTTACTGCTGGCTGCACACAAACTGATATACGAACCACAACCTAGCTGGTCAGGTTCTGTCAGCAAATTTTGCTAAGAATAAGAAAAAGTTTTGGAGTGAGAGTAACAAGTCGAGAAAGCCTAATTTGAATATGGTGTGACTGTACTTATCAATCAAGAATATCTTTCAAGTCCAATGCAACACTACATTTTGAATTAATAATTTTTGGGGGATTATTAATAAATACATATTTTGCAGACCAGCTATTGTGGTGTTATTGATGTCAATGGTAAATGAGAAGCAGCCCTTCATTCTACGATGTGCAGTCCTTTACTGCTTTCAGTGTTTCCTCTACCGCAACCAAACTGGCCAGGCTCAGATTATCCAGACACTACTGCCGCAAACTGCTGATGGTATGTCAGCGTGATCCTATACCCATCTATTCAAAAATTATTTTAAATGTAAATTATGTTTATTTAGAAATTTATATGAGTCTTCTATATTGTAAATACTGTTCTCATTGTTTTATCTACACAGAAGCCCTCAGTTTAATGGACTTCATGTCAACCAATTCATATTGACACATGATGCAGAGTAAAGCAATAAGTTTGTTAAAGTATTACTTGTTTATCATTGTGATTGATGAATAAATAAATAAATTATGCTAAACCTTGAGGAAAATGCTGGTCTTTGATATGTTTATGCTCAGCATGTTACTTATGTAGAGGTGAGTATATGTATAAAGAGTATACATTCATTTTGGTTTACAGTTAGTTTTATCTTGGTGAGAATATGATCATTATTGTTTAGCTTTGTTGGTATCTGCATCGTTATGATTCATGAACTAAGACATTTATTGCTTGGTGAAATGATCAATTTTTTTTTTTTTTTTTTTTCAAAATTTGCCTATTTGTTGAACTAGAGACTGTCTAATTGATAATAATTTGATTTTATGTATAATTTCTTAATATTAATTATGTATATAAATTATGTTCAGCTCACTTATTATCTTGGGTGACATAATTTATTTGAAAATGTCACTATATTCTTATTTTTATTTAATTTTTAAAATAATTTATATAATTACATTAAGATAATTAATTATATTTAAATGATTATCATTTACTATGAATAAGTTGAAGTCGTAATAAAAACAATTTATTACAGTAATAGTATTTTAATTTGGATGTATATTTATAATTGATAAAATAACATTAGGAATTATTCAGCAAATTCTATTATATTTTATGGGTGGTGGCAACTATAGAAGGTAGTGTACCTGGGGAGAGACTTGCAGGTCAGGTACCAGGTTTGATGGTTGGTAATTACATGTTCTTACAGTAACCAAGTGTTTTACAGAAAGAAAATAGCAGTGTTATACTTACTCTTCTTACTCTCAAAATTAATTTAAAAACTAATCTGTATTGTCTGCTTTGTTACATTAATTTGCTAAAATGCCTTCTAGTTTCCAAACTTTTTGAATGACTCCACTTACCAGGCTTCCTTAATGACTAGGCAGAGCAGGAGAGGGGTCATGGAGGCTTCAGGTCACCCAGATTAAGTTTTGAACCTAACCTAGCTTAACCTTTTCCAAAAATGAGGAATATTCACTCAGATTCATTTTCATTTGCTTTTAAAATCACACTCCACTCTCTGAGGCTGACTGTCATACTCATTCTCACTCATCTTCATTTACTCTTTTTCACATATTCTCACTCATTCACTCTTGCTGAATCTCAGTCACTCTCACATGATGAAAATAATAATAATGATAAAATATTTCATCATCTTTCAACACACCGGCCGTATCCCACCGAGGCGGGGTGGCCCAAAAGGTAATATATACAGGAGAAGGGGTTACTAGCCCCTTGCTCCTGGCATTTTAGTCGCCTCTTGCAACACACATGGCTTACGGACGAAGAATTCTGTTCTACTTCCCCATGGAGGTAAGAGGAAATAAACAAGAACAAGAACTAGAAAGAAAATAGAAGAAAACCCAGAGGGGTGTGTATATATATGCTTGTACATGTATGTGTAGTGTGACCTAAGTGTAAGTAGAAGTGGCAAGACGTCCCTGAAATCTTGCATTTGTATGAGACAGAAAAAACCCCACCAGCAATCCTTTTTTCTTTCTTTCAACAAACCGGTCGTATCTTACCAAGGCAGGGTGGCCCAAAAAGAAAAACAAGTTTCTTTCTTTCTTTCAACACACCGGCCGTATCCCACCGAGGCGGGGTGGCCCAAAAGGAAAAACGAAAGTTTCTCCTTTTACATTTAGTAATATATACAGGAGAAGAGGTTACTAGCCCCTTGCTCCCGGCATTTTAGTCGCCTCTTACAACACGCATGGCTTACGGAGGAAGAATTCTGTTCCACTTCCCCATGGAGATAAGAGGAAATAAACAAGAATAAGAACTAGAAAGAAAATAGAAGAAAACCCAGAGGGGTGTGTATATATGTGCTTGTACATGTATGTGTAGTGTGACCTAAGTGTAAGTAGAAGTAGCAAGACGTACCTGAAATCTTGCATGTTCATGAGACAGAAAAAAGGACACCAGCAATCCTACCATCATGTAAAACAATTACAGGCTTTCGTTTTACACTCACTTGGCAGGACGGTAGTACCTCCCTGGGCGGTTGCTGTCTACCAACCTACTACCTATAAAAAACAAGTTTCTCTTCTTAAATTTAGTAATTTATACAGGAGAAGGGGTTACTAGCCCTTTGCTCCCAGCATTTTAGTCGCCTCTTACAACACGCATGGCTTATGGAGGGAGAATTCTGTTCCACTTCCCATGGAGATAAGAGGAAATAAATAAGAACTAGAAAGAAAATAGCAGAAAACCCAGAGGGGTGTGTGTATATATATGCTTGTACATGTATGTGTAGTGTGACCTAAGTGTAAGTAGAAGTAGCAAGACGTACCTGAAATCTTGCATGTTTATGAGATAGAAAAAAGGACACCAGCAATCCTACCATCATGTAAAACAAGTACAGGCTTTCATTGTACACTCACTTGGCAGGATGGTAGTACCTCCCTGGGTGGTTGCTGTCTACCAACCTACTATCTAGGATATTTTATCATACTGAAATAATAATTCTTTTTGTTTAACACGTCGGCCGTTTCCCACTGAGGCAGGGTGACCCAAAAAGAAAGAAAAAACTTTCATCATTTAACACTTTCACCATCACTCATACATAATCACTGTCTTTGCAGAGGCACTGAGATACGACAGCTTAGACGTCCCTCCAAACTGCCAATGTCCCAAACCCCTCCTTTAAAGTGCAAGCACTGTACTTCACATTCCCAGGACTCAAGTCCAGCTAACTGGTTTCCCTGAATCCCTTCACAAAATATTATCCTGCTCACACTCCAACAGCTCATCAGGTCCCCCCAAAAATTTGTCTCCATTCACTCCTATCTAACACACTCACACACTTGCTGGAAGTCCAAGCCCCTTGCCCACAAAACCTCCTTTACCCCCTCCTCCAGCCTTTTCAGGGACAACCCCTACCCCACCTTCCTTCCCCAACAGATTTATATGCTCTCCAAGTCATTCTACTTTGTTCCACTCTCTCTAAATGACCAAACCACCTCAACAGCCCCTCTTCAGCCCTCTGACTAGTACTTTTAGTAACTTTACACCACCTAATTTTCACACTACGAATTCTCTGCATTATTTTGCACCACACATTGCCCACATTATAATAATAATACAAGTATACTTAGAGATAATTTGATGTTTTATGATTCTCTTCTAACTATTAAGTGTTTTTTACAGTTGTACCAGGAGCTAAACCTTTTCGTAAGTGGCAGTACTTTTGTGCACCTCACACCAGTCTCTTCACTACTCTCCATAGTGTACCTCACACCAGTCTCTTAGACCAGTCTTCACTGTTATTCATAGTACACCTCATACCAGTCTTCACTACATAGTACATCTCACACCAGTCTTCACTACATAGTACATCTCACACCAGTCTTCACTACATAGTACATCTCAAAACCAATCTCATACATGTACATCTAACACCAGTCTCACTACATAGTACATCTCACACCAGTCTTCACTACATAGTACATCTAACACCAGTCTTCACTACATAGTACATCTAACACCAGTCTTCACTACATAGTACATCTAACACCAGTCTTCACTACATAGTACATCTCACACCAGTCTTCACTACATAGTACATCTCACACCAGTCCTCACTACATAGTACATCCAACACCAGTCTTCACTACATAGTACATCTCACACCAGTCTTCACTACATAGTACATCTCACACCAGTCCTCACTACATAGTACATCTAACACCAGTCTTCACTACATAGTACATCTCACACCAGTCCTCACTACATAGTACATCTCACACCAGTCCTCACTACATAGTACATCCAACACCAGTCTTCACTACATAGTACATCTAACACCAGTCTTCACTACATAGTACATCTAACACCAGTCTTCACTTACATAGTTACATCTAACACCAGTCTTCACTACATAGTACATCTAACACCGGTCTTCACTACATAGTACATCTAACACCGGTCTTCACTACATAGTACATCTAACACCAGTCTTCACTACATAGTACATCTAACACCAGTCTTCACTACATAGTACATCTAACACCAGTCTTCACTGCATAGTACATCTCTCACCAGTCTTCACTACATAGTACACCTCATACGAGTCTTCACTACATAGTACATCTAACACCAGTCCTCACTACATAGTACATCTAACACCAGTCTTCACTATATAGTACATCTAACACCAGTCTTCACTACATAGTACATCTAACACGGTCTTCACTACATAGTACATCTAACACCGGTCTTCACTACATAGTACATCACACCAGTCTTCACTACATAGTACATCTCACACCAGTCTTCACTACATAGTACATCTCACACCAGTCTTCACTACATAGTACATCTAACACCAGTCTTCACTACATAGTACATCTAACACCAGTCTTCACTACATAGTACATCTCACACCAGTCTTCACTACATAGTACATCTAACACCAGTCTTCACTACATAGTACATCTAACACCGGTCTTCACTACATAGTACATCTAACACCGGTCTTCACTACATAGTACATCTAACACCGGTCTTCACTACATAGTACATCTAACACCGGTCTTCACTACATAGTACATCTCACACCAGTCTTCACTACATAGTACATCTCACACCAGTCTTCACTACATAGTACATCTAACACCAGTCTTCACTACATAGTACATCTCACACCAGTCTTCACTACATAGTACATCTCACACCAGTCCTCACTACATAGTACATCTAACACCAGTCTTCACTATATGTACACATCACACCAATCTTCACTACTCTGCTTAGTGATGCATTGTACACAGTTTTTCATAGAAATTTACCATATGATTGCGCTCATTGCAACACATTGCTTAGACTCATGTTTACTTGTGCATGAATTAGCTCAGAATATGTTGCATTAAGCTTGCTAATGCAGGTTACCCCACTGTACTGTTGTACTCATCATGTACATGAATGTAATTTACTTTGCATTTACAGTTTACTTATACTAATTGTCTTAGTATTGTACTGATATATATTTTTTTATTTTTTTCAACATATCAGCGTCTCCTATGGAGGCAAGGTGACCTAAAAAGAAAAACAAACATTATTCTTCTTACATGTAGTAATTTATACAGGAGAAGGGGTTACTAGCCCCTTGCTCTTGGTATTTCCGTCACCTCTTGCAACATGCAAGGCTTATGGAGGAAGGATTCTTTTGCACTTCCCATCGAGATAATTTTTCATATCATATGAAAATATTTTAACATATTTGATTTGCTTTTTGTGAATATTTTTATTAGTAAATCTATTTATTCTTGAAAAGTTTTGTTCATTAACAAAGTTGAAATAGAAGATTTGAAGAATATTTTTATTTTTCAGGTATTGTATAGTATTTTAACCCATTTTCTACAGTTTATTTCAATAATAAATACATAATTCTGCTACATTTTATAGCACTGATTTTAATGTGAATCAGTGGAAGTGATTACCACACCCAGAATTTTCATTTGTTAGTTGGCTAGCAGACTTAGACACTTGAGCTTATCACTCTGTTTATTAGTAACTAGAGATTATTGTAGTACTATAAATAAAACTATTCTTTTAATCTGCTTTAAAATTGGTTTTGTCATTGTTTTTTGCTTGAAAGGTTAATGAAATTGATATACACTATTGAAAAGTTAATGAAATTGATATGCTGTTGAAAAATTAATAAAATTGATATAATGAGTATACCAATTTTCCTATTGTGTTATTAAATTTAGTCATAAAATGATTGATAAGTGATTCATTATTATTTTATTCCTAGCTAACTCAGTGACAGCAGGTCAGCTACTGTGCAGTGGACTCTTTTCACTTGACCCGGTCTCTAACTGGTTTGCTGCAGTAGCTCTAAGTCATTCCTTGGTTGATAATGCAACACAGAAGGTATGTACCATAACAATCACTTATATGCAATTTGATGGACTTTAGTAAATCTGTATATATTTTGTCTAATTTTGTCTGTGATCATAATTTTGTGTAATTTCTCATTGTACCTCTGTTTTGTTTAGATCAGTACCAAAGAGGATCTCACAGTAGGAATTAAAATATTGTTTTATATCTGTTCTTCAAGGGTGTATAAATCTGTAGTGGAGAGAAGGAGGGGTAGCAGTCATCCTAGGAAAGGATGGACTGGGGGGGGGGGTAAAAGAGGTTTTGTGTGCAGGGATGTGTGAGCATGTTAGATAGGAGTGAGTGGAGATGAATGGTTTTTGGGACCTGACAAGCTGTTGGAGTGTGAGCAGGGTAATATTTTGTGAAGGGAATCAGGGAAACCGATTAGCCAGACTTGAGTCCTGGAGGTGGGAAGTACAGTGCCTACACTTTAAAGGAGGGGTTTAGGATAGTTGCTGTTTAGAGTGACATCTAAACTGTTGTATCTGGGTGCCTCTGCAAAGACAGTGATGGTATGAATGATGGCAATTTTTTTTTTTTTTTTTGGGGGGGGGGGTCATCCTGCATCTGTGGGAGACAGCCAACATATTAAAAAAAAATCTATTCTATTTTCAAAATAGAAAAGGTAGGGGGAAGGGTAAAGGAGGCTTTGAGTGCTAGAATCTTGAGCAGCCATCCGGCTTGCGTGAACACGTTAGCTCAGAGTAAGTGGAGACAAGAGATTGTATGACAGTGTGTGGTTGGAGTGTGAGCAGGGTAACATTTATGAAGGGATTCAGGGAAACAGGTTAGCCTGACTTGATTCCTAGAGGAGGCACATATTGTATAGTGCCTGCACTCTGAAGGTGTGAGCATATCACAGTTTGGAAGCTTATTTGAAATGTGATAGCTACACACTTCTGGCAAGGAAGCTGTTGAATGAATGATGGTAAATGATTCTTTTTTTTGGGGGGGGTAGGAGGCTCATGTTACCATGGTGTGAAATGGCTGGAGTCTCTTAAAGAAAATCTTTATTTCAAAATATGTATATTAATATTTAGTAATATTTAGTGAAGGGATTCAGGGAAACCGGTTATTTTCATATAGTCGGACTTGAGTCCTGGAAATGGGAATTACAATGCCTGCACTTTAAAGGAGGGGTTTGGGATATTGGCAGTTTGGAGGGATATGTTGTGTATCTTTATATGTGTATGCTTCTAGACTGTTGTATTCTGAGCACCTCTGCAAAAACAGTGATAATGTGCGAGTGTGGTGAAAGTGTTGAATGATGATGAAAGTATTTTCTTTTTGGGGATTTTCTTTCTTTTTTGGGTCACCCTGCCTCGGTGGGAGACGGCCGACTTGTTGAAAAAAAAAAAAAAAAAATGTATATTAATATACTTGTACTATGTGTAAAGGAAAAGTAAGAATAGGTAGAGAGCATGAATACAGTGGACCCCCGGTTAACGCCTGGATCGGATAGCGCCAAAATCGGATAACGCCTCGCTTTGACATGAAAAAATTGACTCGGATAACACCTAAAAACTCGGTTAGGAGCTTTCATCCCGAACATGTCGGCACAACGGCCTGAGCGGGCCTGGCCATTCACTCTGTGTACCAGCCAGTGTCCCCATTGTTTACAAAGCCAGTGAGGACGATTCCGCGTGTACATGCGATATATTTTGTATTATTCTATTGTTTTTGGTGCTTGTAACTGCTAAATAAGCCACCATGGGCCCCAAGAAAGCTTCTAGTGCCAGCCCTATGGCAAAGAATGTGAGAAACACATATAATTGAAGAAAAATACGAAAATGGTGGTGGTAGTGGGTGGTAGTGATGGTGGTAGAGGGTGGTAGTGATTGTGATGGTGGTATGGTATGATAAGGGATGGTGAGGCTGCCACTTCTGACAAAAAAGCGGCTGAAAAATATGTGCAGCACTTTAAGGGGTACATAGAGGCTGAAAAATTGAAAACTCACAAGTGTTCAGTTGTGACGAAACAGGCCTGTTTAGGAAGAAAATGCCAAACAGGAGGAAAAGGCACTCCTGGGACACAAGCCAGAAAAGGACTTGTTTCCTGAAGTGTTGATGGAAGGGGATTTCCCTTCCAAACAATAGAACACCTTCATCCTCTGCCTTCCTCCTGTCTCATCACTCATCAACAAGTCCACAATAAAGGTAAGTGTGATGTTATTATTGTTTTATTCATCATGTATCATTGTTTTCTGTGTAGGGAAATGTATATTTAATGTAAAAAATTTTTTTTGTTTAATACCTGGAATGGATTAGTTGGATTTTCATTATTTCTTTTGGAGAAAATTAATTCGGTTAAAGGCAAGCTCTCTGGAATGGATTAAAGGTGTTAACCGAGGATCCACTGTAGTTCATTTTTGTAATAGAAAAGGGGACAAGAAATATTGTAAGAATTATAAGGGAATAAGCCTGTTGAGTGTACTGGGTAGGTATCAGAATTATTATTAAAAGAGTACAGTGGACCCCCGGTATTCGATGGCATCGGTATTCGATAAATCCGATATTCGATGCATTTTAACGCAAAAATTTCGCCTCGGTATCCGATTGAAAGCCCGGTATTCGATACGATTCGTACGAGACGTGTCCACGTGTGGCCTGAACTGCCCCGTGTGTGCCGGTGTTTACAAGCCAGCCAGTGTGCGCGCATCTAAGGATACATTCGGTACATTCCATATTATCACTGTTTTTGGTGCTTGTTTCTGCAAAATAAGTCACCATGGGCCCCAAGAAAGCTTCTAGTGCCAACCCTGTGGTAAAAAGGGTGAGAATTAGTATGGAAATTAAGAAAGATTTTGAAGGGTTTGGAGCTAACTCTGAGAAGCCTATGCCAGTTGTGGAATCCATTGTGCCTACTTCAAAAATTAAGGAAATGTGTGCACAGTGGGTTGAATTGCAAACCTTTATGGATGAAAGTCACCCTAACACAGCTATTGCAAGACAATGACAATGTTGTGGCCCATTTTAGACAAATCGTAAAGGAACGGGAGGTACAGAGCTCTATGGACAGATTTGTTGTGCGACAGAGGTCCAGTGACTCTCAAGCTGGTCCTAGTGGCATTAAAAGAAGAAGGGAAGTAGCCCCGGAAAAGGACTTGCTACCTCAAGTCCTAATGGAAGGGGATTCCCCTTCTAAACACTAACACCATTCACACACTCCCCTCCTCCCATCCCATCAATCATCACCAGATCTTCATTAAAGGTAAGTGTCAATTATTCTATTGTTATTATTCTATTGTTATTGTTGTTATTGTAATTATTCTATTGCATTAAACTTAATATTTCATGTGGTAAAATGGTTTTTTTTCATACTTTTGGGTGTCTTGCATGGATTAATTTGATTTCCATTATTTCTTATGGGGAAAATTGATTCGCTTTTCGATATTTTCGGTATTCGGTGAGCTCTCAGGAACGGATTAATATCGAATACCGGGGGTCCACTGTAATGGGAAAGACAATAGAAATGTAGAGGAAGAAGGTAGTCTTAGGAGGAAAGAGGTGTGTGGCTCAAGTGTTTCCTTAGTAAAGTACACCTACCATCCGACTTACGACCTGCTTGACTTACGATCACTTGACTTACGACCGTGTTTTTTATGCCAAATTTCTGGGAAATAAACAACTATTTGTGTTGTACACAGTGTTTATCCTAAACCTTACAGGATAAAATACAGTACTAACAACATAAAAAGTAAAGTAAAACATGAAATACCAAAATAAAACAATAAAATAGTCATTACAAAAATGTTTTGTTGATGTTCAGTAGTAAAGTTCGACTTGCGACCATTTCGACTTACGACCGGTTTCTCGGAACCGAACTCGGTCTTAAGTCGGATGGTAGGTGTATACATGTATAAATGAGCACTACTCATGCTAGAGTAGAAAGTTGTTTGTTGCATGTATAGACTTAGAAAAGGTATTAGTTAATGCTTTAGAGAGGTTGGAGCAAAATTGGATGATTTGAGGATATGTCTGAAGTGGAGGAACTGAGGGTTAGGGAGTCATCCCAGGAAAGGTTGGGGGGGGGGGGGAAGTTAAGGAAGTTTTAAGTACTAGGGGCTTGGATATCAGATAGGCTTATGTGAATGTGTTAGGAGTGAGTGAAGGCAAGTGGTTATTATGAATTGACGTGCTGTTGGTGTGGGTAAGGTAGCATTTATGGAGCAGTTTAGGGAATCTGGTTAGCTGGATTTGAGTCCTGGAGGTAGGATGTACAGTGCCTGAGGGAGGGGTAAGGGATGTTGCAGTTCCAAAGGGCATCTGAACTGTGTGTCCTCTGGCAAGACAGCGATTAAATAAGTGACAGTGAAAATTTTTCATTTTTTTGAGTCACCCTACCTTGGGGGAAGATGGTTGGTGAATTAAAAAAGAAATGGGCCGAAGAGGATACAGGACAGTGTAGTAAGTGTTCCAAATGTATGGAATAGGTATTAAGGTAGGTATATATGTACTGTTGAAGTGGTTTGTGTGTGTGTGTTCTTTATCTGCACAAGAGAAGGAAAGGTATCATAGGATTCAAATTCAAATTCAAAGTTTATTCTCTATAAGGATTACAATGCTGAGTTTACAGAATTTGGTTATTGTATTGTTTACATGTAGTAAAATAATAATTACAGAGTGTACCACTAGAACACCTAGCATGGCTAGGCATTTCGGGCAGACTTAAATTAAATCTTAAGTTTAAAATATTACAAAATTATGAGGTAAGTTGGTATTATGGCTAAGTGACTAAATACTAGTTTGTGAGTTTAGCAATGTGAATGCTTTTGTTTTGGCACTATACATAGTTTCAGTATTGGAGTATCACAGGCCAACTTATGACTAGTTAAGATTCATTATTTTGAGATTGAGATTGATATTTCTGTTTATGGTCAAATGGGTGAGTGAGCGTAAGTGTTAACCACCAGGTGGTATTCGTGTAATTAGTTGACAGGGTGTACAGGGAGATAAGATGTTTTCTGATGGTATTTTTTGAAGGTGATGAA